AAGAAGAAGAAGAAGAAGAGGAGAGTTAAGTAAATTTCAGCAGTTTAGCTTTTACACGTTTATACCGATATCGAGAAAGTATTGGGTTTTTTGCAACACACTATTAATCGTACGATTTTTCTATTCCTTTTTTATGTATCACGTTTTTTACCGAAACGAAACGTTCTAGTGCCATCTTGACTATTTGGATTGTACCGTCGGGGGGGTAAAAAAAAAAAAAAAAGAAAAAAAAATTCATTTCTTTGCGAAACAACATTCAGAGATCGGCCCAGTTCGTTATTCAGTATCGTTTTAGAAAGACTGTCGATGGAAATTGAATCGCCTGTGTATCGATTCGATGAGTTTTTCTAATTACGTTCACGATGAAACGGCAAGATAAACCACGGAGAAGAATGTATCGAAGAATTCCAAGCGCAATTGAGGGAAAGGGATCATTCCAGGTGTATGTGATTAATCTGTATGCCTTTAGGAACAAACAAGCAAAGTATCAAGTATTTATTCTCTAAGTGGCAGATCGGAATATTCTCTGGATTCGATTCCAGATCCAACTGGGTGTTCATTCGGATTCATTTCACGTTTCACTCCGATCTGCGACTTAGAAAAAAAGAAGAAGAAGAAGAAGAAAAAAAGAAACACCTTATATGTGTTGTATTAGCACGATTCAAACGGTTAAAGCGTCCGCTGTCAATTAATTCTTATTTTAATCAGCATCGATGACAATTTTACAAGGGCACAGCGAGCGCGTTAATTAATTAAGAACAACTTCTGCGTATCGGCAAGCGTTATTTGCAACTTAGCAAGTGAAATTCTGTGTCTCGTGAACAGAAGAAGGGAATTGCTGGCTCAAAGTCGAAGAGATCGAGGCAACTTCCCCTGAATGAACGTCCAATCTCTCTCATAAGTTAAGAAAAAAAAAAAAAAAAGAAGACGAAACGAAGAACGAAGCTCTGTGTGAGCAGTCTTCATCGAGTCCGGTGGCGAATTTGTTGCCACTTTTTTTCTGTTTCCAATAACGAATCAAATGTCAATTGAACCGATCGAAACGAAACAGCAAGGAACTCGCAAGTCTCTTCGGTTGTGAGCCATGAGAAATAATTTGGCCAGGGCAACGTTGACCGTGCTGTTGGCCTTTTTAATTGTGCGCGTGTACATATACGCAGGAGCTAAGGAGATGAATAGTATTTTTTATCGATTTAGCATTTACAGAGTGTATTTAGGAGAAATTATCGATTATACCAAAGCCAGCATCTCTCACTTCAGTGTTTTCGTAAGCGAGGTAGCTTCCGGGAGAATGGAGGAACAAAACGAACATATATTCTCTAGTAATTAAATGAGCGAAGCAGCCACATAAGTAATTGTATATGTCGAGTTAATGTTCAAAGTACGTAAGTAAGTGGAAGATAACGGTCGTAAGTTTCAGATCATTCGATTTTATTTCTTTCGAAAGGGAAAGAGTCGTTGCTAGACTGCGGATTTTTTTTTGTCTTTCTTTCTTTCTTTCTTTTTTCATTTATGAGAGTTGTAAAAATCCATACCACGTATATAACACGTGGATTGAACGTTTTTCAAGGTAAAGCGTTTATTACAATTTACAGTAGATAAAAACGAATTTTAATTACGTCCGTAAGAATTCATCCAAACGCATAGGAATCTGCAGTCTAGTCACTGCGAACTCTTTTGCTCGGGGGAAATTTACTTCGACTCGGCTCTTTCACACTTTGACAATTTCGCCGCCGAATCGCAAAATCACCGTGGTTCACGAGCAAACGATGTGACCGTTTTCACCTCCCACTTACGTATGCAGATAGAGAAAAAGAGAAAAGATAAAGAAACGCGGGCTTGTACAATACGCGCGAGAGTATATTTTATATTCGTACGCGCTGGTGCGCGCCAATATTTTTTGTATCACATTGAGAAAAACGTCGAATGGTCGATCGGATGATATGTCGATATCTTTGGACGAGCACAAGACGAACGAGAGATTATCGTACTGCACAAAAAATAATTAGCAACGCCGGTTGCTCCAGAGTCAATAATGGGTGCTGTTTGAAAGCGTGTCGAGTAAGATGGTTCGATGTCTTGAAAGAGGACGAAAGCCCATTAAGCCTTATATTTCGCGAAAGAAAGAAAGAAAAAAAAAAAATGCGATTTTTATCGAGCAATTCAACACTCGTCGCTCTTTTTCTTTCTCCTTTCTCACGTTGGAACAAATTGAAAAGATGTTATAACTACGAGTCATCGAACCCTGTCGATGTGAATCGATGTTACGGAGATTTCGCGAACACTTCCAGTTTGTACGTGTGAACACGGAAACACGAGGTAAATTGTACATTAAGAGTATCGGAAAGTACATGTAACGATTTAGAACTACGCAGGGCATAATAG